ATTCCAAAATTCAGACTTTGAAGATTTTTGCTAAGAGCATGGAATTTCTCATAATTTTTCAGCACCAAGAACACCTCAACAAAACGGTGTCGTAGAACGGAAGAATAGATCACTAGTTGAGCTTGCAAGGACAATGCTCAGTGACGCAAACCTTCTTAAATATTTTTGGGCAGATGCAGTTAGTACAACATGCTTCGTAAGCAACCGTGTCAATATTCGACCACTTCTCAAAAAGACTCCGTATGAGTTGTTCAAGGGTAGAAAACCAAATATAGCATTCTTCCACATATTCGGATGCAAATGCTTTGTTCTCAACAACAACAAGGATAATCTCGGTAAGTTTGATGAGAAATCCGACGAAGGTTCCTCACAACAATAAGAAGAGACTTCAAAGAATCAGGAAACACCACAAGAAGATGTCACTCAAATCATTGAAGAACATCAAGATCTTCCGAAGGAATGGAGAACACATAGAGATCACCCGATAGATAAAGTTATTGGTGATATTAGCCAAGGCGTTGCAACTCGACTTAATCTAAAAGATGCTTGTCTCAACATGGCATTTGTGTCTCAAATTGAACCAACCAAGATTGATGAAGCCTTAGGCAACGACCAATGGATTATAGCAATCCAAGAAGAACTCAATCAATTCGAAAGGAATCAAGTTTGGAGTCTTGTACCAAGACCAGACCATAAGCACATCATAGGAACAAGATGGGTGTTCAAGAACAAACTTGACGATAATGGGATCATAGTTCGTAACAAAGCAAGATTGGTCGCACAAGGATACAACCAGGAGGAAGGAATTGATTTTGATGAAACGTTTGCTCCGGTAGCAAGGTTAGAAGAAATTAGATTACTACTTGCTTACGCTTGTTCTGTGAATTTTCAATTATTCCAGATGGATGTCAAAAGCGCTTTCCTGAATGGCTACATCAATGAGGAAGTCTACGTCAAACAACCTCCGGGTTTTGAAGACTTCAAGAATCCCTCACATGTTTACAAACTAAAAAAGGCACTCTACGGACTAAAACAAGCACCAAGAGCATGGTATGACCGCCTTAGCAATTTCTTATGTGAGAAGGGATTTACAAAAGGAAAGGTTGACAAGACATTGTTCATAAAGAAGATCAAAGGAAACACTTTATTGGTCCAAGTCTATGTCGACGACATCATCTTCGGATCAACAAACAAAGAGCTTTGCAAAGAATTTTCACTTATGATGCAAGGAGAATTCGAGATGTCCATGATGGGAAAATTGAATTATTTTCTTGGACTACAAATCAAGCAAACAAAGGATGGTATCTTCCTCAACCAATCCAAGTATTGCAATGAATTGTTGAAGAAATTTGATATGGATAGTTGCAAGGTGATGTCCACTCCTATGGGATCCGGAACGTACGTTGATCAAGATGAATCTGGTACTCCAGTTGATATAACAAGATATCGAGGTATGATCGGTTCATTACTATATTTGACGGCAAGCCGTCCTGACATTATGTTTAGCGTTTGTTTGTGTGCACGCTTTCAAGCAAGCCCGAAGGAATCGCATCTCACAGCCGTAAAGAGAATCATAAAGTATCTCAAAGGGACAATGAACGTCGGATTATGGTATCCTAAAGGTAGTACTTGTTCTTTAGTTGGTTATTCTGACGCTGACTATGCAGGATGTAAGACCGATAGAAAAAGCACAAGTGGTATGTGTCACATTCTCGGGAATGCATTAGTGTCATGGGCCTGCAAGAAGCAAGCGTGTGTGGCACTCAGTACAGCTGAAGCGGAATATATTGCAGCAGGAAATTGCTGTGCACAAATTCTGTGGCTCAAGCAACAACTCCTCGATTACGGTATAGATCTCGGTTGCATTCCTCTTCGATGTGATAATACAAGTGCCATCAACATTACAAAGAATCCGGTCATGCATTCAAGAACAAAACATATAGATATCCGGCATCACTTCCTTCGAGATCACGTGTTGAATGGAGATGTAGATGTTACTTTCGTTGACACACACAATCAACTCGCCGACATCTTCACCAAACCTTTGGCGAAAGAACCATTCTACAAAATTCGGCGAGAACTTGGGATTCTTGATGAAGGTGACATCTAACCTTTTTCTCTAATATGTGTATGCATTATTTGTGTTGTGTTTTCATGTGTATGCATTCTGTTTTTAAGTATTTTTAAAAAATTCGAGTGTGTTAATCGATTAATCAAATGGGTTAACCGATTAACACTGTTAAATTTTCAATTCTGACTCAATTTTTAATGTGTTAACCGATTAACCTATATGGTTAACCGATTAACACTGTTAAATTTTCTAAAAATCAGAAACGAAAATTAATTAGATTTTTGAAATATTATATGTGATAAATGCATTTTTTATGTGGTCAATATTCTCTTAAGTGTCCAAATTCATATCCTTAAAACTTTTCCTCTTCTTTGACTCATTTTTGGAACTTCCCTCTTCAAACCCTAAGTTTTAAAAACCCACTATCTCTCTCCCACTATCTAAGTTGGATAACTCCTCATAACCATCCCCACAACTTCTCAAACCCTAACTTCCTCAGAACCCACAAATCCTATAAATTCAGCAAACCCCATTCACTCAACATCTCTCAAACTTTCATCCATGGCATCCTCACACAAGGGCAAGGGAAAACTTCCTGAATATGCTTCTGCTTCTGAAGACGACAGCATTCCCATGGAGTCTACCAAGAAGAGGCGAATGGACTTCAAGGTTCGTGTCCGACAACTTCTGTCGGTAAAGTATGTGAATCTTAAAGCATTTCCAGCATCTTCATTTGATTTCCCTGCACTGCTTGAGTATCAGCACATAGATAAGTTTATTTCATACTCTGGTATCATTTATCCAGACTTGGTTAAAGCTTTTATGAATAAATTGGCTATATATCTAGATATTGATGAAAATTATATGATCAGTTATGTGGTTAGAGAACATGAGTTTACTGAGAAACTGTCCACCATTGCTAGACACCTCAAAATACCTTCAAAAGGTTTTTTCTTAAGGAAGGGTGTCAACCATGTTGATGGGTTATAGGCAAACTATGACAAAATGGAGTACTATTATCAGATCTGTCGGTTCCCCAAAGAGACGGTCATAGCAAACTCTCGGACCGCATGCATGTTGTGTTATGCGAAAAACCTGACGGTTTCCGATAGAATGCTGCACTATGTGATCTGTTATGTTCTGATACCCAAAGATTCAAATCATTCACAAATTAATGACTTGGAGATGCAACTGATGTATGCAATCAAGAACAGAATTAGGGTGAACTGGATTTTGACTATCATGTACCATCTTCAGCAACAACTTCACTGCATAACAAGGTTGCCGTATGCACGGTTGATTTCAAGGATTCTGGAGTTGACCGAATTGGACCTCAACAGAGAACCGTCCACCAAGATGAAACCTACCACAAATGAAATCAATGAGATCAACATTGTTAAGAATACGGGTATCATCAAGGAAGCTAACGGAACATACCGATATGCAGATGACGGTCCTGCCAATCAAGCCTATCCTATTCCCGAAGGAGGACTAACCAGTGAATTTATCTATACTACCATTATGAACCAGCATAGGGAATCCATGAATATGCACCGCGAAACCTCCAGAGCTATTGCCTCTCTCCGCAACCTTGTTCTTAATCCTCAACATTCAACCACCAGGGTCGTGGAAGATGAGATTGAAGAAGCAGATGATAGTGAGGAAGAAGAAGAAGACGAGGAGGATATGGCTGATGAGGACATTTAGAGAATATGTTGTTGTTGCTGTCTTTTATTGCTTTCTAGTTATTAAGTTTTAAGTTTATGTTCTTAACTTTGTTTCATTTGCGTTGTACTCATACACTACTTTGGTTGCACTCTGTTGCATGTTTAATTCTATTTTCGTATGTTTTGCTTACCTACGTGATTGTTCTTTTGATTGCTTTCATAATTATCGATAATTTCTAGTTTTGTTTGAAAGCTCCTTCCTTTTTGCTAATGACAAAGGGGGAGAAGAGCTTTGGCTTTCTAATGTCTATGTGTGCAGAATTTTTGTCTGTTCTTAGCCTCTGTTTTTAGAAAGGGGGAGTTCATGGACATAGGGGGAGAAACAAGACCAGAACCAAAAATCGTCAAAGCACTGCACAAGACTCAATTGGTTGTAAGTGGTTGTCATCATCAAAAAGGGGGAGATTGTAGAAGCATGCTTCATCTCAAGGTTTCAAGGTTTTGATGACAACAACAACATGACTCAAGATCATTTCATCTGTGCAAAAAGTCAAAAGCTTTCAAAAGACCAAGATCAAAGTATTATGAAAGTGATCAACATTCAAGCTTCATGTACATTTGCTCGATCATCTTTCAAGACTTGGACACAAGCTATGGTATATCAATTCTCTACTTTAATTGATATACAAGTGTTCAAAACTATAAAATATTTTTGCATAATGCATTAACATGTTTTGAAATCATTTGGAATTGGTATTGTCATACCCCAAATTTGTCCAACATGTTTATATACTCGCCCTTTATCTATCATATGATGTTTCTATCAGAAGGTTGAAATGAATCGAGTCAAGTTTCATGTTGGGTTTTATCAGGGAGGTCATAAGTGAAGATGTTTCGTGGTTGAAGATTATTCGGGGCCAGATCATTCCTATTTTAGGGATTTTGTGTAGTAAAGTTCTTGTTTTATGTTTCCATGATTAAAACATATGCAAGTGAAGCTTCAAAGGAACTCCTGGCATAATTCAAGAGGTGATTCTTTTTGAATAAATAAATCCTCAACCATGAGGTTGTTTCAAATTTTATAAATTTGATTCATTTTTATTCTTATTAATATTATTATTACCCCCAATTTTTCTTTTTTGAATTTAAATTGATTACTAGATTGTGAAAAATCTTGTTGTGGAGATTCAATTTGGTCCTTTTTCCTTCCTTTGTTTGGATTTTTCCACAATCAAGTGCTTAAATTTGAAGGTGATTTTATCATGGATCATGTGATTGGTGGGAAGTTTAAACTAGGAAGGAAAATTGGGAGTGGCTCTTTTGGAGAGCTCTATTTAGCACTTAATATACAAAGTGGAGAGGAGGTGGCTGTTAAGCTGGAATCTGTGAAGACCAGGCATCCACAGCTTCACTATGAGTCGAAATTGTATATGCTTCTTCAAGGAGGAACGGGTATTCCCCACCTCAAATGGTTTGGTGTTGAGGGAGAGTACAATGTCATGGTTATCGATCTTCTTGGACCAAGTCTGGAAGACTTATTCAATTATTGTAACCGGAAATTTACATTGAAATCAGTGTTGATGCTTGCTGATCAATTAATTAATAGAGTTGAACACATGCATTCACGAGGCTTTCTTCACCGCGACATAAAGCCAGACAATTTTCTGATGGGCCTCGGACGTAAAGCAAATCAAGTGTACGCTATTGACTACGGCCTTGCGAAAAAATATAGGGATCTTCAGACTCACAGGCACATACCATACAGGGAAAACAAGAACCTTACCGGCGCAGCACGCTATGCAAGTGTCAACACTCATCTTGGAATCGAACAAAGCAGAAGGGATGATCTGGAATCTCTTGGTTATGTGCTCATGTATTTCTTAAGAGGAAGTCTTCCCTGGCAGGGACTGAAGGCTGGAAACAAAAAACAAAAATACGATAAAATCAGTGAGACAAAGGTGTCAACTCCGATAGAGGTGCTGTGTAAAGCATATCCCTCTGAGTTTGTATCATACTTCCACTATTGCCGATCATTGAGGTTTGAAGACAAGCCAGATTATTCATATTTAAAGAGACTTTTCAGAGATCTATTTATTCGAGAAGGATATCAATTTGACTATGTTTTTGACTGGACTGTATTGAAATATCCACAGATCGGTAGCAGCTCTAGAGGACAACATCACGGCAATAACAAATAAACTTTTTCCTAAACCCTCAGCAGCTTTAATCACGCACTACTCCAATTTCTCCCGCTTGCGACCACCACAGAACCGATACAGACCTGCACGTACACAGAAGGACAACATAAGCTCACAATGAATGTCAGACATAGTCCAAAAAGCCACAAGCCCTCGTACAGTTTCACCTCATAAACAATCTCATGATACTCCTGATAGCACATGTGCCCAAGTGGTGGTTACAAAGTCTGAAAACATTAGTAGTAGGTGGGTCCAGGCCACAGAAAAAGAATGCATCTCTTGCTTTGCCGGTGATATTAACCCGCTTGAAGCAGAAACAGGAGTCGTGTTCGGAAGATCCTTGTAATGTTTTAGAGCTGTCTGGTATGGCTGATGGTTTTATGGGAGAGGGTCATGTGGGTTGTTCTGGAGGTTTTGGTGAAGTTACTGAGGGGTCTGGAGATGGTTTGAGAAATGAATGTGAGATTGATGATTTATTACAGTTGGAGATGGGTGCTGAAGATGGTTGTCGAAATAGTTTGGGGGGTTGTTCTGAGGATATTGATGTTTCTGATTTTATAAGTGGTGGACTGCACTCGGAGGGAAATTTTCAAGATGAAGCGAATGTCGACCTTCCAAATAGTTTGCAGAAGCGTTGTGTTGAACAGGGGGAGCAGAAGGATGAGAAGAGTGTTGTTTTATCATTGGCAGGAGATGGTTCGGAAGTTGTGGAGGGCAAAAACGACGGTACTGATTTGATAGCAAGTGCTGTCAACTGTGTGCTAGACGCTTCACATTCTGACGTTTCCCTTGAGTCAGATTTCATGAGAGATTGGCTAGTTGATTGCATCCAGAAAAATGAGCCAGAAGGAATTATGAGAAATGCAGAGAGCTTGCCAAAGGTTGTAGAAAATTGTGATTATGATGGTTTAGATGGGATGGAAGCCAATTCTTGCTGGCAGATGTCTTCTTCGTCTGATGTGGAAGTGCCGTCAGGTGCTTTACTTATAGACACAAAACTAGAAAGCACAAGTGATAAGCTGCACAATCAAAAAAATGGTGTGGATTGTGACAGTGCCTGCGAAGAAAAGATAAGAGCCACTGTTGATAAAGAAATCAATGATAATTCACGTGTACAATCATCGCGCTCACCAGATTTTCATAGGACCTCAAGGACTTCACCTGCAGTTGATTCACTATGTCATCCTACCTTGCTGGATCCAGGGAGTGAATTGAAGAATGACATATTGCAAATAGAAGATAATTTCTGTATATTGAAGGATTGTTCTGCAGATGGAACTGCTAGCTCTACCGTTGGAAAACCATTTTATCCCGAATCAGGCCAGTACTCTTCTGTTTTAATCACCAGTAGCTCTCCAAAGGATGTCCCAGATCTTCTTTCCAAGGGTAACGATGTTTCCGTCAAGGATACTTGTACTGCAGACAATCCTGGACAGCCAAATAGTGATGGACAAGAAGCTGTTGAAGTTGATTATATCACTGAAAGCACACTGTTACCTTCTCAAAGTAACAGTCAAACAACCAAATTTGGTCGTCATACACAGACCAGAAAGGCTTCTAGAAAATCCACAAGCAAAGCCAGTGTAACACATCCAAGCGGGGGTATGAAGATAAACTTAGAGGCTGCTAGGAAGAAAAGAAGTTGTTTATCCAAACCAGGCCGCTCTTCTGCCTGGGGATTAATGGGAAATATTGAACAGTTTTTTCAGTATGAAAAATGAGCTTGAGGTTAGTGAAGCCACGTGCCAGAATGTTGGAAAGGCTAGAAACAACTGTCAAGGTGGGAAAACAACTAAGAATAGTACAAGTTCTAGCTCATTAAGTTCAGTTCCAAAGTATAATGTTTCAACTTCAACTACTCGTTTTCGTCTGAAGATCAAGTATGGAAAAGAAAATGATTTACCGGCTTCTGCTTCCTACAAGGGGCCTGATTCAGGTTCCCAGAAAGTAATCAGCAATTCTGCAGATAGAATTTCTGTAGTGTTGGCTTTAAACAGTGTAGGGTCATTCAGAAATGACCCAGACAAGGATTGTGTGGTTCTAAATGGACACACTGTAAATAGCCAGTTAGAAAATTCTAAAATAACAGAGAAGTCAGAAGGGGATGCAGAGGAACCATGTCATGCAGTTCCTCCAGAGAGAGTGGTTGAAGCATTAGTTAAGCCAATTAATAATTCAGCCACAGATCCAGGAACATCACCTGATTCAGAAGTCATTGATTCAATTCCTGAAGTCCAGGTTGGAGAAAGACATGAAGATGTACATCTTGATGTGTTAGGTTCTTCTAATGAGTTAAATTCTAATCTGGATGTTACCTTCGAGAAGAGAGGGAAGAATAAAGACAAGCTTATTGGTTCAGGCAATTGTATCACAGAGGATGGATCACATGGTCAACTAGGTAATAATGGAGCTATGCATTCAAAGAATCAAAGACATAAGAACTGTAGTGACTTGGCTAGCTCTCTAGAATTGTCTACTTCCACTGAGGTAAGCAAATCTATAAAGAGTGAAGAGTTGGCTGCAGAATCATTGCCCCTTTCTGGAGAGACTGTACTTGGAGGTTCTGGCAAGGCTTTGAAAGCTAAAAGTCACGCGACAGTCAAGACAGTTGGCAAAACATTTGGTGGTCATGAATTTTCTAAATTCCAGGGTTCCGAGGACCTTCCGTCTTCTACAAGACCTTTGGGTCGTAAACTACCTAAAAGTCTTGAACCTACTAGTAAATTTAGCAAGGCCAAAACCAACGCTACTGGCTCGACAAGTAGGAAAAAGACTACTACTAGACGTAAGGAGAAACAGAAAGTGCCAGTAAACAAAAGTGAAGTCAAGGGAAAGGGTCTCTCTCTCAAAGTTACACATGAAGTGAAAGATTGCCCTCATTTAGCAGATGTAGATGGAAATCATAAGTTGGACGCCGTTGTAAAAATTAATCCTAGTGACAACAGAGTATCAGATGCAGACATCATGCATGGTTCGGGTTTGGGAGAACAACCTCAGTCACCGCGTAATGCGTGGGTGAGCTGTGATGATTGCCACAAGTGGCGGCGTATTCTAGCTCTGCTTGCAGACCGGATTGATGAAACTAACTGCACCTGGACTTGCAAGGACAGCGGTGATAAAGCTTTTGCTGATTGTGCTATTCCTCAAGAAAAATCAAATGCAGAGATTAATGCAGAATTAGGATTATCATATGCATCTGGTGAAGAAGATGTACGAGATGACTCCAAAAATTATAAGGAGTTGGAATATCGACTACCAATGGTTTCCCAAGGGTCATCTTTCACCCACATTTCCACCAATGAGTTTCTGCACCGCAATCCGAAAACTCAGACTATTGACGAGGTAATGGTTTGCCATTGTAAGCCACCTCCAGAAGGAAAGTTGGGATGTGGGGATGAATGTCTAAACCGGATGCTTAACATTGAATGTGTGCAAGGAACTTGCCCATGTGGGGACCGTTGTTCTAATCAGCAGTTCCAAAATCGCAAGTATTCCAGACTGAAGTGGTTTAAATGTGGAAAAAAAAGGTTATGGACTGAAGGCACTCGAGCGGGTAGCGAAAGGTCACTTTATCATTGAATACGTTGGAGAGGTCCTTGACATGCATGCATATGAGGCGCGTCAAAGAGAGTATGCTTTGAAGGGGCATAGACATTTCTATTTTATGACCTTGAACGGTAGTGAGGTGATAAATGCAAGTACAAAAGGAAATTTGGGGCGTTTCATTAATCATAGTTGTGATCCTAACTGTCAGACAGAAAAGTGGATGGTGAACGGGGAAATCTGTATTGGATTGTTTGCATTGCGGCATATCAAGCAGGATGAAGAATTGACGTTTGATTACAACTATGTAAGGGTTTTTGGTGCTGCTGCCAAAAAATGTTATTGTGGTTCGCCTCATTGTCGAGGTTATATAGGCGGCGGTGATCCACTTAAAGATGAGCTTATAGTTCAAGGTGATTCAGATGATGAATTTCCAGAACCAATGATGCCTCTGAGAATGGTGAGGTTTCTGGTACCGAGTCTGTTGATGGTGAGGAATGTTCTCGAGAAGAACACCAAGAGAATAGGGATCATGAACATGATAAGGCTGAGAGTGAAGGTGAAGCTGAAGGAATGGCAGATGCCAATGATGAAGGAGATGGAGCCACATTGTCATACTCTGAACGTTTTCTTCTCACGGTAAAGCCTCTGGTAAAACATGTTTGCCCGGTGGTGCACGGGAAAGAAAAGAATGTTCAAAATTTTATGGAAATGATTCCTTTTATGTGCTGTTTAGACTTCATCAGACATTGTATGAGAGGATACAATCAGCCAAGATAAACTCATCCTCTGCTGAAAGAAAATGGAGAGCTTCAAATGATACAGTTTCTACTGATCAATATGGCAGGTTCATGAGTTCTCTTTACAGTTTGCTGGATGGCTCTTCTGATAATTCAAAATTTGAAGATGACTGTCGTGCTATTATTGGAACTCAGTCGTATGTCTTGTTCACGTTAGACAAGCTGATATATAAACTTGTTAAACAGCTTCAAGCTGTTGCCATTGCTACTGATGAGATGGATAGCAAACTTCTTCAACTATATGCATATGAGCAATCAAGAAAACCTGGAAGCTTTGTGGATATAGTTTATCATGAAAATGCACGTGTTCTTCTTCATGATGAGAACATATATCGTATTGAGTGTTCGTCTACACCGCCCCGATTGTCTATTCAGTTGATGGATTACGGACACGATAAGCCTGAAGTGACTGCTGTGTCAATAGATCCTAATTTTTCAGCCTATCTGCACGACGACTTCTTATCTGTTGTCCCCGACAGCAAGGAGAAATCCGGAATTTTCTTAAAAAGGAATAAGCTAAAATGTGCTTGGAGTGATGAATTTCCAAACCAGATTATGGATGGAGTACAAGTTACCAATGGTCTGGAATGTAAGATTGCTTGCAATTCATCCAAGGTTTCATACGTTTTAGATACAGAAGACTCTCTATTTCGAACA